GAATTCCTGAGGAGTTGGGGGGGCAGGCATCTGAGAGATTCGGGGTGCAGAGGAGAGAAGGAAAATGAACAGGCTAAGCCAGGTACATGACCAATATTTGGTTTATTTTTTGAAGTCATCGTTCTATTTGTAAGAGCAACTATGATTACCATTTTTTTTTAAAGGTGAATTTGCAAAAGCAACCGGAGTGTCAACAGTCTTTTCACATCCAAACATTACTGGGACTAAGGGAACACTGGGAGATGAGCCCCCAGACCCCATACCTTTAGGCTGGCAAACCTATTAGCTTTCAAATCCTTGCCATTAAATTTCTCCTGCTGGAGGGGTCCATGGGAGTTACCATGACTAGTTTCGGTGCCTTGCTATGCACTAACCAAGGCACTGATAACTAGGGTGCAGGTAAAATGAGACTAGCAGGTTCGCTCAACTGCCCAGAGGCACAGTCTGCAGTGGGAAGTCACATGCTTGTTCTGCCTGCAGAAGGAAAAGTTCCCATGAAAATCAGCGTCCCCTTTTTCCCTCCTTTTTTTTTCTTCCTTCCTTCCTCCCCTCTTCCCCTCAAACCTTTTTACTCATTTTCCATCTTTGATTTTCACTGCAATTTCTCAGTTATTTTGTATGCTGGTCTCAGACATGGTATGATTTCCAAGGACATTTATCCAGAAACCATGACACCATTTTATTTGGCATTTGGGCCTATGTTTTTGCTAATACGAACGTTCCATGAACTTTCTGAAAATCTGTCATACTTTTTTTTTTTTTTTTTTTTTTTTTGTCTTTTAGCTTCAGTTTCTACAAACTTTGTGAAGTACCCTCAACCAGTCTCCATGGGCTTTCAAAACAAATGTGGATGCTTCACTACAGAAACAGACTGACCAAACTGAAATTACTACCTTACAAAGTCCCTTTGTTTTTGTAAAAAAGTAGATTCAAGTACAGCTTTTTTTTTTTTTCTTTTCTGTTCTTTAGGAGAAAGGCAAAATTACAGAGAAAAAAAGGAGGGTGGTGGGGGAGAGATCTTTCTTCCACTGGTTCACACCCTAAATGGCTGCAATGGCCAGAGGTGGACCAATGCAAAGTCAGGTGCTAGGAGTCTCTTGCAGGACTCCCAAGAGCATGTAGGGTCCCAAGGACTTAGGTCATTTTTTGCTGCTTTCCCAGGCACATTACTAGGGAGCTAGGTTGGAAGCAGAACAACCAGGACTCAAATGGCTCCAATACAATGTGTCAGCACCTCTGGCAGAGGCTTAATATACTTTGCCACAGTGCCAATTCACAAAGTCCTTTTCCTGAAAAGAGATTTCTAAGTATTTCCTGTGGAAATCAAAATTTCTCTAAGTATACAAAACCACAAAAAAATACCCAAAAAACAAACAACGGAGAGATTTTAAGGTTACTTTTTCATCCGTTTCAGTACATAAAACTGCCAATCTATCTTATGACTTATAATGTGGTTTGATGGAGGCTGGAGGCAAGGTGGTTAAGCAAGTTCAGCCTACACTGAGGATGCCAGCATCCCATAGCAACACCGATTTGAGTCCTGGCTGCTCTACTTCCACTCCAGCTCCTTACTAATGGGCTGGGGAAACAGCAAAAGTGCTTGGGCTCCTGCATCCGTGTGAGAGCCTGGCGGAAGCTCCTGGTTCCTGGCCTGGTTCTTGCCAATGAAGCCATTTGGGGATTGAGCCAGAGGTCTCTCTGTGTCTCTCTCTCTGTGTAATTCTGCCTTTCAAATAAAAGAAAATAAATCTTTTGAAAATACAGTTAGAAGATAGTTAAAAATCTGAAAATGATGACAACTGAAACTTCCAATGCTGACATCCAAAACACCCTTCCATAAAGCTGCTTTCACCAACATTACATATTACAAACGATCTTTCTTAGCAAAAAAAAAATCTGTCAGGCACCAAGTAACTTCAGATAGATTTAAAATAATGAATATTCAGACTCTACAAGAAGTGTTAACAAAATGCAAGGCCTTCCAGAGCCGTATGTGATATGACATGACATTCACCGCAAAGGCCTTTATGCAAGATAATACCATTTGCAGAATTCAGGTTTTCGGTATCTACTTTGGAGCGCCCCCCTCCCCTGATAATTTGAAACATGCCTCCTCTCATGGGAGGCAGTGTGCAGAGACGCTAAGTAGATTGTCCACAGACAGACGGGATTAACCCAACAACATGTGCCCCTGGCCTTGTATATGATGAAATTACAACTGCAACAGAGCTTAGGGGAGAAAAATAGTAACCAAACAGTATTAACTCTAATTCACCGATTTTAATGTCGAGTAAGAGTAAGAAGACACAGGCAGAACATTCTCTTACAACTCCCTAATAGTTGATGGAGGCAAAGATTATCAACAAAAAAGAAAGGGGAGATGAGTGACAGTTTGGGGTGAGGAACTAGGCGGCTGACACATTTTATGGGCATCCTTTATAGAGGTGACCACAGGGATACCATGTCGTGGGGGGGGGGGGGGGGGGGGACACATAGCACAGATTCCAGCAAGCAAAATCTTCCCGAAAAAGCTGAGGCTATACACCTAATCATGTTGCAAGAGCCATCAAATGACAGGAGAATCACAGGAATCAGAATTTAAATGCCACCAAGCTGCAGCAAATGGAGAAGTCCAGAATGTGGGATACCCTACAACACAATGGGCCCTGTTTCTTCCAAAGCCAGTTACCTGGGCCTGAAGGGGAACACCTGTTCTGCATTGACAGGCAGCATTAATCAATCTCAACATGAAATAACTCCTGCATTCTGATTCCAAACCCAGAGTGCAAGGATAGCTGTGAACCTGAGATGCTTAGAAAGACTGGGTGGTAGCGTACACTAGGACTCATTACATTTGTCACTGGCTGGCTGGGAGAAAGGTGTGGAAGTGATGTAAGAAATCAGAGATATGGGCCCAGCACAGTAGCCTAATGGCTAAAGTGCTCGTCTTGCATCCACCGGGATCCCATGTGGGCACCAGTTTGTATCCCAGCAGCCCTGCTTCCCATCTAAATCCCCGTCTGTGGGCCTTGGAAAGCAGTCCAAGATGGCCCAAAGCCTTGGGACCCTGAACCCACTTGGAAGACTCAGAAAGAGCTTCCGGTTTCAGATCGGCTCACCTCCAGCCCTTGCGGCCACTGGGGAGTGAACCAATGGACAGAAGATCTTTCTCTCTGTCTCTCCTTCTCTCTGACTTTTCAAGTCAGAAATGCACTCATGCTTTTGAGATGTAGTCGCACACACCGTGCAGAAGTGCCAGGCACAGTTCAGCTGTAGAACTTTTCAACAACCACCAAAACTATGGGGTCCCCACAGTGATGTCACAAGCTAATCCTCCAACTGTTACCACTGACATCCTATATGGGCACTGGCTCGTGTCCCAGCTGCTCCACTTCCCATTGTGGCCTGGGAAAGCAATGAAGGGGTGGCTCAAAGCCTTGGGACCTTGCACCCACATGGGAGACCCAGAAGAGGCTTCCGGATCTTGGTTTCAGCTCAGTCCAACCCCAAACTGTTATGGTCATCTGAGGAGTGAACCAGTGGATGGAAGATCTCTCTGTGTCTCTTCTTCTCTCTATAAATCCGCCTTTCTAATAAAGATAATAAATATTTTTTAAGTGAATACAGGGATGTGAAATGTGTGTGTTCACTATTTCAACCCACTTTTGTGCATGAAGACAAATCTTTTTAGCAAAACCATTCCATTGAAGACTTTCCATCTGCTGAGAACCAATCAAGAGGGTGAAGGGCCTTGATCCTACCACCTGCCGATCCATACAACAGCCCAGGAACAAGGATGCTGTCCAAGCTTGATGATGACAGCAGCTCCCACGACACTCTGGAAGCTACTGCCCTGCTACCAAGCTTGGACAGTAAAGACTTCCCTTTACAACTCTACACTTGGGTCCGATGTGAACATTCTCACGCTGTGCAACATTTTGGGAGCCCCAGCAAGATCAAGGCCCCTGGTCACACAGCAGTTATTGCTCAGTGCTGCAGAACTCAGCTGGGCAGTCTGGAGAAGCCACTGTGAAGGCTTAACACAGCCCCAGCAGCTGATCTAGGCTTCCTGGCAGATCCATACTACAGGCTGGCTGAGAAACCACAGAACGAATCCCACCCTGGCTGAGACCATACTATTGCAAATGAAAAGGGGAAAAAAAAAAAAAAAGGCAGAGCACAGGCCTTACTTAACCCTGCTGACAGCCACCTGTCAACCAACTGCCAGGTTCTAGAAGGCCAAAGAGCTCTTGATATCTTGTTCTTCACAGGCCTTTAAATGCCACGCTATTGTAATTCTCCTACACGCGCCTAACTCTCACAGGCAACAACTGCTGGGTCACCAGCAAGTCCATCTCACAGGACTGCTCTGCACAGACCAGGTCCAACACACTGGCCAGTGAGAGATGAGTCCCCAACCTGTGTGTGTAATGAGCAGGAGGCGGGAATCCTGTGACCTGCTGAGTACACACTAGGAACGGAACCATGGGAACAGGAGTGATCAAGGTGGTTCCAACTAAGAATGGCACACAAAACCAACAGAGCTGGGAAAATTGGAGTGATCGAGGAACCCAATCCACCATGCTGTGGGAGGAGATGGCCAAGGCCCAGAGGCAAAGGAGGCTTCAGGGGTGGTAGGGCCCAAGTGCTTGAGCCAGCATCTGCTGCCTCCCAGAGCTGGTTTGGAAGCAGAGGTCCTAGCACATGGACCAGTGCTCCCAAAGTGGCAGCATAACCTACTGGGCAATAATCTCTGCTAGAGAGACCCTTTTTTTGGTTATTGAGTCCCCAGCCCTTCCACAAGGGCAACAACGAAACCACCTCAACCAAAGTCAAACTGGTACATTTCATAATGGCCTATTCACGAGGTGTCTCGATAGGAACACGAGCAAACAGGAAGTCCCGTATTAATTACCTGCAATTTGCTACATACCACGAGGGGCTACACAGACACATCCCTAGCGAGATGACAGCGTGTTGGGTGGATGGGCAGGACTTACCGATTTTCTGATTGAAAATCTTGTCGAACGTGATTTCATTCCTTTCCTGAAGGTACTTCTGCATCACACTCCGGATACTGAAAGAAAGGAGGAACACACATCTTTTATCCACACAGCCAGCACCATGAGCTGCCATCCCCAGGATCAATGTCGCCCCGACATTCACCACCAGGTCACAGCTGTCCGGACTATCACCTACAAACTTGAGAACTGTTCTGCTGGCACTCAGTGCCCACCTCACACATAGGCAGCACTCTCCAAAATGTATATACACACATAGCCCACTTACAACCCCACATGTATACACACACACACACACAAACACACACACCAAGCTCTGCCAACAAGAGCCAAAGTTCCCTATGTTGAATACTCTAAAAACTCACATGTCTATATACCAACACACACACACACGAAAACATAATCAGAAGGAAGATTTCATTTGCAAGAAAATAAGAAACATCAAATATCCTAAAGGTAATCTTTCAAAATACGTACAAAAACTTCACAAGGAAAATTAGAAAATCGCACTGGGAGACATTAGAAGGAGATTTTCATAAGTGGCAAGGTGCACTAAACCAGTGAACAGAGAGCTGCCCTATCGCACAAATGCAAAGCTTATCCAAATGCAGTTATAAAACCACCCATCATCCCCATCAATATCCTAACAAGCTTTTCACAGAACATTGAGACAGATGAGCGTATTCTAAATCGTTGGCAGAACAACACAGGATCAAAAGTAAGTCTGAACGCTTTCGAAGGAAAACAGACCCTGAGCTCATTATGAAGCTGAAGTCATTAAGATGGGATAAACAAACTGATTTATGAACCAGGAGAGGGGTCATCAAAAATGAGCCACACAGACACAGGACTTGGATCTGTAACAGGAGTGGCAAGAAAAGAACGTGGGGCAAAGATGAGTTATTTGGTAAGTACTGGTGATCATTCATCCACATGAGGAGGCAGAAAACACAGTCTCAGTCTACTGAAGGCTATGGTCAATTGGCCACTATTCTTTCATTCTTAAAAACAAACTGCCTGGGGCACGGCGCGGTGGCACAGTGGTTAAGGTCCTCGCCTTGCACGCCCGGGATCCCATATGGGCACCGGTTCTATCCCGGCAGCCCCACTTCCCTTCCAGCTCCCTGCCTGTGGCCCAGGAAAGCAGTCGAGGACGGCCCAGAGCTTTGGGACCCTGCACCCGCGTGGGAGACCCGGAGGAGGCTCCTGGCTTCGGATTGGCATAGCATTGGCCGTGGTGCTCACTTGGGGAGTGAATCATCGGATGGAAGATCTTCCTCCCTGTCTCTCCTCTCTGTATATCCGCCTTTCCAATGAAAAAATAATAAAAATAAATCTTTAAAAAAAAACCTGCCTGAACAAAAACAAACTCCTGGGCCCAGTGCGAGGACTCAGTGGCTAAATCTTCACCCTGTAAGCACCAGGATCCCATACAGGCATTGGCTCATGTCCTAGCTGCTCCATTTCCAATCCTGCTTAGGCCTGGGAAAGCAGTGGGAGACCCAGAAGTTTCTGGCTCTTGGATTTGGATTGGCTCAGCTCCTGCTGTTTCAGGCACTTGGGGAGTGAACCAGCAGATGTAAAATCTTTCTCTCTGTCTCTTCTTCTCTTTGTAAATCTGCCTTTATAATAAAAATAAATAAATATTAAAAAAACTTTTTTTTAATCCTTGGGGTATCATTTCTACATCATTAAATGCAGATTCTTAAGCTGTTAGAGAAGGTTTTGACCAACGCAGACCCCCTAGGAATTCCCATCCCATTGTGTAGATAACACTGAAACACCCAGATGGCGCCCGCCCCTCTCCCCACAGCCCTCAAGCCAGGCAGCTCCTGCCCAGTTTCCAGGGCATATGTTTTTCACATGCTTCAATTCTGGAGTTTTACATAAATAAAATTACACATGTTGCCTTTTGTCTCTGGCTTCTTCCACTTGACATAAGCGAGCTTCATCCACATGGCTGTGTGCGTAAGCATTTAGCTCCTTTTTACTGCCAAGTAGTATGCCATTGTCTGATACTCCAGTTTGCTTATTCACCCATCTGTTGTTGACACACATTTGGGGGCCTTCTAGTCCAGAGCTTCTTCAAATAAAGGTGCTTTAAATAGCTATGGGTAAGTCTTTGGACGTGTGTCTGCATCTCCGATGGATAAATACCAAGAAATGAAATTGCTGGTTCACGAGATGAATCCTACTTAACGTTATGAAAAACGCCCGTGTGGTGCTTCAGGCTGGTGCTGCCAGTTGACATCCCTGAGTGTGAGCGTTTCAATTACTTCAGATCCTTGCCAACACTTGAGTTGTGGAGTCTTTTTCTTTTTTAACGTTAGCCACTCTGCTGGGTGCATTCTCATATCTTAATTCGCACTCCCCTGATGGATAACATTGAGCCACTTTGTCCACGATGATTGGATTCCTGTTGTTTGTGATTACTGGATAAAATCTGCTTAGTTAGCCTGGGTACTCAATTAAGGGAATGGAAAGTCAGGCAACCATGGACGGTACTTCACAGCGAAGACAGAAACACCAGAAAATAATCAGTGTTTTTCAAAAGATTTGGAGAGACGAGCACTAGCCTAATTTGCCGATTCCATGTTAAGAAGATGTTTGTGTGCTTACTGGTCATTCAAATGTTTTTGAAATGAAACTGAAGCATTCATTTAACTATTTTCCCATTTTGAGGAGAACTTGTGTCTTACTGAATTTTAGGAGTTATATATACAAAGGTAGGTGTGTAGCCTCACCATTTTTTTGCTCTACACATGCAATTACCCTTTAAATGAATTTTTTTTAAAAACAAGGTAATAGCTTTCATATGCAACCTTTTTTTAAAAAAAAAAATATTGTCGGGGCTCTTTGTGAGGATCCAAGTGTCATCCGGCATCAAATACCTGCCCAAGGAGTTTCCCGAAACCTTTCTAGAAGGGCAGGTCAACCAGCAATGACGTCTCAGTTTTTCTTTCTCTAAGAGCATCTTTATTTTGCCTTCACATTCGAAAGTTTTGTTTTGTTTTGCTTTGTTTTTTCACCAGGCGTAGGATCCCAGGCGGGCAGGTTTGTTTTGTTTCTTCCGAGCACTCAGTGATATTGTTCCACTGTCTTCTGCTTGCATGGTTCACGCAAGAAATCATGCTGTCATTTTCATCTTTGTCCCTCTTTCTGTATTGCTGTTCCTTGATCTCATGGCTTTCACATGTGCCCCTGTCTCTGGTTGCCAGCAGCTTTAACTACGAGACACACAGAGGACTCTGTTTTCCCCCTGACATTTATCTTTCTTGAGATTCTCTGATTTTGTTAAATCTGTGATTTCTGTCTTTCACTAGTTTTGAAAAACTCTCAGTGTGCGTGTGTGTGTATGTGTGAGTGTGACTATGCTGGGATTCCAATTATTCATGTTAGACCATCTGCCACTGCCCCACAGCTCTCAGACTCAAAGTGTGACCGCCCAATGACAAAGTTGAAAGTAAAACTATGTTCTATAGGAACGCAGCCGTGTAATAAATGCATAACCGTCTGAAGAGCAAGAGAACAAGAATCACGGGACTCACAAGGAGCAGGAAAAGGGGAAGCCACATTAGCAAGCTCAGGGGTGGCATGAAGAGACTCAGAGCAGGGCATGGACCAAGATAAAGGGGTTACTTTTCTTTTTTTAAAAAAAATGTATGTTTTTACTTGGAAAGTCAAAAAGTTACAGAGAAGAGGGAGTGACAGAGAGATCTTCCTTCTGCTGGTTCACTTGACAAATGGGCTTGCAACAGCTAGAGCTGGGCCAGTCTGAAGTTGGGAGCTAGGAGTTTCTTCCTGAGCTCCCATGTGGGTGCAGGTGCAGCAAAGCATCTTTCACTGCTTTTCCAGGCCATAAGCAGGGAGCTGGAATGGGAAGTGGAGCAGCTGGAATTCAAAACTGGCGTCCAGATGGGATATTGGCACCAACAAGTGAAGGATTCTCCAGTTGCACCACCAAGCTGGCCCTAAATGACTTACTTTTCAAACTATGGAACCTGCTTTAAATAAAAAATAAAAAAAAAGCTCAACTGTGTGTGGCAGGGATGCCCCCCCCCCCATCACTAATTGCACTACAGAAGCTTACCCGGCTACTGCCCTCCGCACTTAATTATACTTCACTAGACTAAATCACTCATAATGCTCTCCCATCCATCTGTTATATTTGAGGAAATAAATCAGATACTGGCTGCTTTTTTTGGAAATTGCTACCTCCTGATACAGCGTTTAAATGGGAGCTGCCTGGATACCAGTGATATCAAAGACAATCTGGATGTTAACTTCTTTGAAAGAAAACCCAGATATCAGCTTGTTCGTCGACGCTCGAGTTTGAAACTGTCGAATATGTCCTTGACTGAGGCGCTCTGAGCTCATGCGAGCCAAAGCTCTGTTCCTGCTCCATATTAGTTACTTCTCTCTGGAGATGAACACCCCTTCCCTCCTCTTCAAGGAGTCAGATGTTCTGTGCATTTTCCAGCATCTTCATATATTAGGATTAGCCTTTCACCTGGCATGATTCTGTCATTCTCCCTTATCAATACCCTTAGAGGAGTGTTCTGGAAGTCCATGAGTACCAAACCGTGCTGTTGACCACCTATTCCATTCTGACTTTCCATTTTTTTTTTCTTTATTTGCCTCTTCAATACAGCTCCTGCTACGGTATGATTTTTTTTAAAGATGTATTTCTTTTTAAAGGCAGATTTATTATTTATTTATTTTTAAAGGACAGAGTGAGGAGGGGTCTTCCATCTCCTGGTTCACTTCCCAAATGCCCACAAAAGCCAAAGCTGAGTTGACCCAAAGCCAGCAGCCAGGAGCTTCTTCCCAGTCTTCCACACATGAATATAGGGTTCCCCAAGCACTTGAGCCAGTCTCTGCTGCTTTCCCAGGCCACAATCAGGAAGCTGGATCAGAAGTGGGGCAGCTGGTATGATGCTTGCAGATGGGAGATTAGCCTGCTGCGTCACTGTGCTGGCTTTGGGCTGTGCTCCACTGCTTTCCCAGTTGGGACATGAACCAGCGCCCATGTGGCATCCTGGCGCATGCAAGGCAA